ATTTATTTTAAGTAATATTTAATATGAGATCAAAAGTTCCAATCCAAAGAAAAGTTGGTATCACTGATTCACCTTTCCAATTCTACAGCTCAAAAACTGCTGATCGGAGAGTGTTATTGATGTGTTTTTGATACCGAAAGATCGAGTTTAAACCGACAAAAAAATTTCCTGTGTTATTCATATAAGAAATCGAATTTTTTAATGAACTAATCCTCTAATTGACTTGAAAAAATTCTAACGGAAATAATCTTTTTTTTCTATAATTTCTCAGATTTTTCAGGACAGACCGAGAAAATAAAAATATCGCCTAAAAATGAAACACCCTAATGTATATGTATATACATGTGTATATTATACTTCACATAAATTATTTCTATCAGAACAATAACACTTACAAACAATATTAATCCCTCAATGCTTGGCCTTGGGACTCATTAATAGCCATTGCAAATGACAATCTAATTGGAAATTGCACACGTTTAAATTGAATTGGCACATCTTTAGGTATAGTAGGGATTCTTTATATTTATATATTTTCACCTCGGAACTAATGCTGGCTTTTACAATGTTTTTCATTAATCTTCCAATGATTAATCACGTACTATTGCACAGTCGTGCTGGATTCAAATTATGAAACGATCCAACCTTCAGTTGTATATTATACGGTGGCATGCCTGGCAAATCCAATGAATTCAAAAATGATATCACATCATTAAAAAATGAAAAAAAAAAGAAAATGTTTGGGGTGGAGCACCCTTATAACTTAGAGGGGTTAAAAATAGATTTAAACCTATTTTTAGACCTACCGAATATACAATGACAAAACTCTGCTATACTTTGCCAAGCGTCCGCTTCTAATGGGAAGCTTCTTCAGGCCCTCTCATTTATTAAGTTGTGATTTTTTCACCATTGAACATTACAAATTATACTTACAGTAAAAATAAGTGAAAAACAATGAATTGAACATATAAATTGATGAAAAAAAGTTAAACATAAATAGGATTTTTCTGGTTTGACAAATGTCATACCTTCAGATAAATGTCATTTTTCAGTGGGCATGATAATTTGATAATCTTTGACTTTAAGAGAGTTATTGATTGATACGATTTTTTTATTACATTATTATTATGTTTTTGGTGTAGTTCCTGGTAAGTTATTATATACTGCTGAGATTATTAATGTCAGTTTTATTATTCATACAATCAGAAGAGTTATCAATTTCAACCATTTCAAGAAAAAGGCGTTTGGAAATATCGTATCAAGCAATAACTCTATTTAAAGTCAGATTATCAAATCATCATGCCCATTAAAAAATGACATCTATGTGAAGGTATGACATTTGTCAAATCAAAAAAATCGTATACATGTTTCAATTTCTTTCATCAATTTATATAATCAATCCATTGTTTTTCACTCCTTTTTAAAATAAGTAATTCAATGACGAAAAAATCCACAATTTAATAAATTATAGGCCCTCAAGAAAACATTTGAAAGATTTNTCAAAATAATGAAAACAAAATATTAAAGAAATTCATTACTTTTTATGAATGAATGAATTTAGCAATGAATACAATTCTGTTATTGCAATTTTCACCATCATGTTATTTTACCTATCTAGGCTGTCCACTTGAACTTGATGCAGCAAGAGCATGGTTCGCAAATGTATGGAACTACTCCCTTGCACCCTACCTTCGAGAAGCTGCGAGAGAAGGACTTCAATTATACGGGAGGCGAGCTCCTTGGACGGACCCAACCCAATTCATTTTGGAAACGTATCCTTGGCCTGGCGCAGCTCCGCAAGGTCTCACCACAATATCGGCCAAAGATGTAGGATTAGAAGTGGGTCCTACAGCCCAGGCAGACAATGAGGGTGATCCCCTCTTAAACATGTTGATGAGATTACAAGAAGCAGCAAACTATTCAAGTCCACATTCAAATGATTCGGATTGTAATAGTTTGGATTCAAATGTGACCCACGGAAGTAACGTTGGAGCAGAAAGTGTGTCATGAAATGAAATTACCGATATATTACCAAATATTGGGTAGAAATTATGAGCCTTACTGATTTTGAAGAAATGTTACTATACTATTGACAATATATAAACGTTTGCATATACCACCAATCGATACAATGCTTATACAGGCATTTGGTTGACAGATTTTTAAATTACTTTTTCATGTCAGACATTAACTCATTCAACTGCTTCAAAACAAATCCTATGTGAATTTATTCATCCTTATCATTTCAATACACCTTATTACTCGCCTATTCATGTTAAATATGTTATTGAATTGCATTGTACAATAAAATAATATATGAAAAATCATCTGAAATTTAAAAAAATGTGACTTCAAATTTAACGGTACAGACGATAATCAAAGCTGTAGTAAAATTGAAATATATAAATATGACTATAACAAAGTGCTTGCTACTAGTAGTAGGGTCGATATTATTTATTATTTATTTTTGAGAAATATACGATTTTGAAATTGTGCATGTAATTTTTGCTAAGTAGGAATGAATCTTGTGAAATTTCAGAGTGTCAAATCGACATGATATTTTAGAAAAGACTAAATCTAGTCAAGAATCAGTCGCCGTCACAATTTCTGGTATGTGTATTTCTCAGTTTTTCTGTGTTTTTACATGATTTTTTTCTGGTCAAAGACAGCCATTTATGTACATATGTTATTTATTTATAAAAAATAAATGTTCTCTATAATTTGTTTATTGATAAGACGTGTATCCCGAGTATCCTCTAACAGCTTCACGATGGTCGCACTGGAGGGCATTTCGGAGTGAATAGAACTCTAGCGAGAGGTACTATTGGGTCAATTGCCGTCGAGACGTGGAAGAGTGGTGCAAGCGCTGTGACCTGTGCTCTTCGAGAAAGGGTCCAAAGACAAGGCAAAGAGGAAAGTTGAAGTAGTACCTCAGTGGGTGCTGTTTCGAGAGAATCGCAGTTGACATTTGACCACATCCGGTAACAAGTACCTTGTGGTTGTGATGGACTACTTTTCCAAAAGACCTAAAGTAGTAGCCTTACCTTGAGAAGTGAAAGAAATCGTGTCCCACGATTTAGAAACCGCTGCTTTCATGGCAAAAATGGAAGATCATGTCAATAGGGTATGAGATTAGAAGGACGAAATGCCAAAAAAGAAGGGCGCGAGAGTAAGGGAAAATGTGTTGATGAGGGAAAGGTCGCGAAAGGGTCTGAACTCCCGATATTGGATATCACGAAAAAAGGATCTACCGTATATATGGGTAGGCAGGATCATATTCGTATAAAAACATTTTTGGTGGTCATAAAGTCTGCCTGAGTCGCTTAGATAATATTGTATAAGATTAGTGTATTGAAATTATGCGTACTATGATTTCCTTGTTTGGCTGGACAATTGATTGATAGGAATTTGATTACATAGAATTGGCTAATTGGTTGTCATATGATGCAGTTCATGCAGGATCAAAGAAGCAGCATGGAAATCGTGAAATTGGAGATATGGTGCGAATTCGAGAAAGGTTATACATCAAACTTCACAACTGAACTATTCAGTTGTAAAAGTAAATAGAACAGAACCTATAACGTATGCCCTCGAAGATGTGAATGGACAGCCGATCAAAGGATCCTTATATGAGATGGAATTGAATAAAACCAATGATCCCAATACATATTTGGAGAGTAGATGAACAACCAACCAAGGCTTTGGAACGGAAGTGGCTTATCAGTCGTGTTTCAAAACACATCAATCAAATGTTGTACTGGGTGTACACAGCGTCAAAGAAAAAACATGGCTGCCAGTGTTAAAGAGAAAAACATGGCTGCCATCGCGGTATAGAGGGTGTGTGCAGCATTATAGAAAAAAACATGGCTGTCAGCGTTAAAGAAAAAAAAACATGGCTGTGTGTTTGTAGCGTTGAAGAACAGTTGCCATGGAGATATACAGGGTGTGCCAGCGTTAAAGAAAAAAACATGGCTGTTATGGAGGTGTAACGGGTGTGTTTGCAGCGTTGAAGGACAGTTGCCATGGAGGTATACAGGGTGTGCCAGCGTTAACGAAAAAACATAGCTGCCAGCGTTAAAGAAAAAACATGGCTGCTATAGAGGTATACAGGGTGTGTTTGCAGCGTTGAAGAAAAGTTACCATGGAGATATGCAAGGTGTGTAGCGATAAAGAAAAAACTTGGCTCCAGCTGTAAAGAAAAAACATGAATGCCATCGCAGTATATACCGACATGTTGTGTGCAGCGTTAAAGAAAAAAAACATGATTGCTGACGTAACGTAATGATGATGGTGACCAAAATATGAATTAACATAGTTTCGGATCTTTACGATTCTTCGAAAAATTAACACTTCCGGTTTATAAAAATTGAGATAGAAAGTAATGATAAATTCGCCCATATGGAGGAGAGTCCAAATCTACAATAATATGGTCATTTCCTGTTTTCACATACGGCCGTCCGATTTCGATAATTTTGACATCAATGGATTCGTCTCGATTTCTAGAAACATATTTGAGCATTTTCAGAAGTGTATGTAGCATGTATTTTATTCATTTTGGTGGTAAAACCATTTTATGTGAAATATCAACATTATTGAGACTGCAGGGAACGGACGTCTTTTGGAATGATGCATAGAGACGGTGTTGTTTCAAAACACGCCAATCAAATAGTATACAGGGCGTGTAGCATTAAAGAGAAAAAAATTGTTGCCAACGTTGAAGAATAAAACATGGCGTTAATGTGTATATGGTACAATAAAGTATAAGTTTGAAAATATCCGTATAGGACGAAACTGCAGTAACGTTAGTTACAAATAAAAGTGGTAAAAACATAAAAAGTTTCATTTCTCTTTCCTTCATTAGCAACTTTTTCTTTTTTTTTTTCGAAATAGTTAGCTGACTCTATTCGCAACCAGTAAAAGCATGAACGAATAAAATTAAATTGTTTAAACGTTGGTTCTCGTGGCTATGATAAATTTTATCTGGTTATTTTGTTGAAGCACGTGGCTTCCACATTGTTATATTTAAATCGTCAAGTGTTAAAGCAATCATCAATGCTGCTAGGTCAATGTCAATTCCCATGACAACTTTTTTATCCGGATTTTTTGTGCAAGATCTATAACTGTTTGAATAGTTAGTGTATATGCATCTTTTTTAGCTTGAGTAATCGTTAAAATGGTGTCTGCTATGAGAGTTCTTTAATTTAGTAATAAAATGGGACTTGTTTTTCCCGTTCGATAAAAATAAGTATTTTTTTCTCTGTTAACTTCATATCCAATTCAAATGTGATTTCGAGAGCAACTTTTTTGAAAATTCATCTGTATCAATCATACGACTTAAACTCTTCTTCATAACCATTGAAAATGATAGAAGTTGTGTTCGAATAATGATTGAATATGTAACTCTTGTAATCAGCTATTATATCAGCAAACATTTTCTTCTCTTTCCATAAGACTTTATGCAGAAGGAATCCTCCGTTAACTCTGATAAATTAAATAGCGTATAACTATCGTATAACTCTGACTTTTTTGATTCACGCATGATACCAATATCGTCAAATAGAGCCATTGGAAACGGAGCTAGCTCAAACTACAGAGCTTTCTTAATTATCGATGAATCGTTCATCATTACAGCAGCAATCTGTTGAAATAGTAAAGACGTGGTTATGGCTTTTTTCTCCATCTAATTCTACTGTAGGTACAGTTTAAATCAACGTTTGGACAGCATTATACTTTAAATATTCATAGTTTTCAGCATTGAATCCTACCATACTTGCCATACTCGTCAATACTTCAAGTATTGCTTTGTAACAATCAGTATTCCAGTCCCCTACTAATCCAGTCAATGAACTTTGTAGTTTTGGTGAATTAATGAATAGATTATGGCATTTGTTTGAAATCTTATTTGTTTATTACTTAAAGGAAAATTGAAGTGACTTTGTCCTATAATTCATTGACAACATTTAGTCTTTATTCGCTAGAAATTTAAGTCATAAAAGCAGTCAATCAAATCCGAAACGGTTCTTCAAAAATGACAGACTATATAGAGTTCCGGGAGGTGAGACTTTTGTTAATTTTCAATTGTTAATAAAATTCCCTGTAATTAAATTATATTAACAAAAAAACCTGAAATGAACTTACAATAAAATAAAAAATTGAGCGAAAAATTGAAAAATGAACAATTGAAAATAAATAAAAATCAAAACATTTTAAGCCAAGTTACTTCACGACGTTTTGATTGTTAGTATCCACAATCGTCTTCGGATGATGACTGGTCTATTCCTTCAAGAGATGACTATTTATAGGGGATTCAAATGCTTTCTCCTATACCCTCTTTCCTTTCTCCGCCTCGCCGGTTTGGCAGGAGATGAAAGTTTGGCGGGAGTTGACCAATTGGCGGGAGTTGAGCGTTTTCCCCTTGATTATGGGTTTCCATATGTTGAGTATATCTAAGCTAGCTTGGCTGAATGCGTTATTGGACAACATATATCCGGCTTCTTTGAACTTCCTCTCAAAACAGTGTTCTTCCCTCTGGATGATTTCAGCTTGGGACTACTTGATGTTATCATGCTCTGTTATTCCCGATTTGCTGGTTTGCGTTTGGTGGCCTGGTTTTCATGAGGTTGTTATGGATAGTGTTTTCGGATTTGAAGCAGGTTCTGATGTTATACTTGGACCCACTTCTTCTTCTTGTTTTCGACAATCCTCAGATGTTGGGAAGTGCAAACACTGGTTGTTACAGCTTCTCTTCGTTGTGAGGCCCTTCCTGTGTTCTAGCCAAATTATGTCCACCATCACTTTCGAGTAACCATTCCGTTGATTTTTTTTTGATGATGTCAACTTCCTTCTCGAGACCTTCCTAGCCAAATTCTGTTCCGTCATCACTTCGGAGTAACCATTCCGTTGAAGATATTTTTTGGTGATGCCTATCTTCTCGAGATCTTCCTTCGTATTACAGAGCCCGAAAGCACGTTTTACTAGAGCAGTATTTCCCAAAGTTGGAGATAACGCCCTCTTGTGGCCCTGGAGGCCTAGAGGGGGCGGTAAAGGTCCCAGATGTGATTCAAGGGGGTGATTGATGATTTGTAACTCAGCTACCTACTTCATATTTCAAAATTCATTGAAATTAAAATCCTCCTACTACACAACATCTGTTTATCAGTTCATATTTGTATCCTATTTTATTGTATAAACATAAAACAAAAGTACATTGAATATTTATTATTTTTAATGTGTTCACTGCGCTATTCATATCTCAAGATATTCAGTAGGAGGCATCAAACACTGAAAAATATTCGTGTCTTCAAGTATCGCCGGTGAGCTCCCCACCTCCGAAGACACGTATTAAAAAATTGGTGTATCTATTGTTGCGGCTAAGCTGAGCACTTGCCGAACACGGGATTTTTAATGTACCTAATCTAGTAAAAATGAAATTGAATATAGAAGGTTCAATTATAATTCACGTTTGGCGCGAACAAATATTGTACGATTTATTTATGCAATCCTGTATTATAGTTCGTCAACGTTCGTGCGGTCCGTGTTTACGGAGTGGCACAGTAGAATAATACAACCATTCTCTCTCTCTTACCAAGTGATCCGCTCGAGTTGCCGGGGACCTTCAACCGCGGGCGCGAACTGCACGACATTGACATTTGTTCTTACTTGCTCAGTGCGATTGATCGTTAAATGAGATAAACGAGTTTGTGCATGTTTCTCTTATTCCCGCCG